AAGTCTCTTTACGTATATATTATCTCACATTAAACAATCTTACAACACTATGCACCGACACCGAGTAAATCAAGAACAATAACAAGAAGAATGAAAAATTTGAGTTTACAAATAATCCATCTCCCTTCAGAAAAACTAAACATTACCCAGTCCTAATGTTTCTCTAAAACCCTTTTCTTAGAAAAATAAAAAAATAAAAAACCTCCCAACTTCAAACATAATTAACCCTCCTCAATTTTTTTTGTGCCTTATTTTCTAAACGACAGCTTACAATCACAAACCCATAACCTTAGGCCTTGAAATGTCTGACTAAATGACACCTTCTCTCTGTCTGTCAGTCTTTTTTTTTTAATGAATCTTGAAAATCACAAAACTGTAACTTCAGGCAGAATCGTCTAGTTTGAGAATAGCTTCTTGAAAAGCACAAACCTGTAACTTCAGATCTCGAAGTGTCTGATTTGAGGATACGGTTAATTCTTTTTCTCCTCGAAGTTTTCTCCGACGACTACTTCGACGTAACTGAGAATCGCCACCAACGTTTGTAGCATCAGATCCTCCTTCGTGGCACTTTCGTTTCTTGACACTCTGGGGGGTAAAAAAAACACACTGCCGTCTAAACTGTTTTTGACATATTTAAATTACTTTCATTTCGAATAAACTAATTTTAATCTAACTTGTTTCGTAAATCAATCGCAATGTGTACAGAACTTGACTGCTAAATCTAATTGAAAGGCTTGTGGGAGTCAAACACGATTTCGTTTGAAGTATTAAAATGTACATCAATATGTCTCCTACACATAACAATGTAAAGCTTGTTTCGTGATTCTATCTACACATAACAATGTAACGCTTGTTTCGTGATTCTATCTACACATAACAATGTAAAGCTTGTTTCGTGATTCTATCTACACATAACAATGTAAAGCTTGTTTCGTGATTCTATCTACACATAACAATGTAAAGCTTGTTTCGTGATTCTATCTACACATAACAATGTAACGCTTGTTTCGTGATTCTATCTACACATACCGCTGTAAGGTGGACACATTTATTTATTTATTTTTTGTTTCAGAATTTTCGTGTAAAGCTGCACAAACGCCAGCTTTGTATATTCGTCACTAACCTTGAAATATTAAACTAGTGGGTTTCTTTATAGTTAAGCACAAAGCTACACAATCGGCTAGCTGTGCTCTGCCCACCACGGGTATCGAAACCCGGTTTCTAGCGTTGTAACTCCGAAGACATTCCGCTGTGCCACTGGGAGGCTAGACTAGTGGGAAGGCAGTTAGTCAACTAATTACACAGGCCTGCGAATTTACACTTCATAAAAGTTGTTTTGGTTTTAATAACGGACTTTCCATAATTCAGCTACGCAGATTTCGAAAATAATATTTTTTTTTTATCACATAAGTATTTTTTTTACAAATTGGGAAGAAGAAAAACAAACACTCTTACTTTCATCAAATTATTATTTCGTTTACCACAATGTACATTTTTTATTATTATGTTTGTCAACAAAAATACAAACAAACTAAAGAAAAGGAAAGAGCATTGATGTCAAACGAATATGCATCCTCATTCATCTTGATTTTTTTAAAATGAAATCTACGTCTTTTAGTCTCAAAACTACGTGTTGTGGTCTTTCATTTATGTATTGCGTTATGACGTTTTCTGAAAAATCTGTGCGTGATGGAGGAAAATGGATGTAATTTTCGGATTCAGCGTACAGTAATTACTGAAGAACATGTAAAAACGTTATTACAATAAAAACATCCCAGGCCTGTGTTATTGGACTACTATTGTTTGACTGTTTAGTGAAATATGACTGTTACTATTATATCGCACCCATGGCTCCAAAGTTCGGAGTGTGTTTTTGTGGTAACGGGTCGCGAATAACGAACCTTCAACTTTAGGGTCACAGCGATGCTAACCATCATGCCCAAGTTAAATAAAAACCTATTAAAAGTAGATCTGGCACAGCTCCTCATCTGAGGATTGTTTGGGCTATTTGTGCTCTGCCCACCGTAAGTATCTAAACCCGTAAGTATCTAGCGTTATAAGCCTTCAGACTTACCGTTGATCCACCGGGGAGGGGGAGCATCAGAAGTGTAATTCAAATTGGTTATAACGTCCGTGAACTTAGCTATATGTATTCATGAAATTTCCACAAAAATATATTAAAGACACTTCAATGTCTAAGGGGAAAACAAATCGCGTAAATCATACGTTTGTTTGTTTGTTTGTTTTTGAATTTCGCGCAAAGTTACACGAGGGCTATCTACGCTAACCGTCCCTAATTTAGCAGTGTAAGACTAGAGGGAATGCAGCTAGTCATCATCACCCACCGCCAACTTTTGGGCTACTCTTTTACCAACGAATAGTGGGATTGACCGTGACATATAACGCCCCCACGGCTGAAAGGGCGAACATGTTTGGTGGGACGGGGATTGGAACCCGCGACCCTCAGATTGCGAGTCGAGCGCTCTAACCACCTGGCCATGTTAGGCCTAAAAGCATACTTAATACGATTGAGAAAACATTCTACCAAACAGAAATGTCTTTAAACTTTGAATTATGCGCTTGCTGATTAAACTCTTCATATTAAAATAACCATGACTAAGTTTATATATTTTTTGTTTAATTATGTTCCGATATAAACATACGTTACACAACAAGTCAGACCGTTTTTTTTTATGGGGCCACTTTAGTAATTTTTACCTTCGGCATAATAAGAAAATATATTTGGAATATAAAAAAAAAACCAAAGATTTCTTACAATTCATCAATGTTTTATCTAAAAAGCGTATACCTAAAAATTGTTTTGTTCAAAGACGTAGTGCTGAGGTAGGATTTGCTTGAATTACTGCCCTACGATTTTCAGCAAAATGTAACGAAAAAAAAAAATGTCGAGTGACGTTAACTTGCTCATTCTCGTAAGTCTTTCTTAACACTTATAAATCACTTTATAAACACTTTATAAATCAAAATAACAGGCTTACAATATTTTATTTTGACTCCATTACTCTTTTGTTGTTTTTAACCTGAACATTCTTAGTCCATTAGTTTTTCGGATTTTAATACCTGAATAAATTCCGGATCTTCCTCTTTCCCAACGGTAGATGGCGCCACATCACAGTCAGGCGATTCAGAATCAACTGTTGGTGAGCCACTTAATTCGACTTCGTCAAACTTAGTAACACGACGTACATAAATCTTCGCACTAGTGAAGTCTAGCAGCTGTTGTTGTTCTTCGTGAAGTCGTGCGACGTAACAAGGCCCACAAAGAGCTGATGAAAATTTATAATGTTTTTTTTCTTTCAAGTTTTTACTGAAATATCGCAAATTTTAGTTTACATATGTAATGTATATTTAGTGCTAAATTATGGCCTTGTCATCACAAAACTGTACCTAAACTTTAGTTTCGTCATAAAGCGGTACCTTTAAAAAAATCTAGAAAATAAAGTTAAATACCAAACCTGCTTTAACACAAGACAAAATGCTAGTTTATTGTTGCCAAAAACTAAGCCATTTTTTATTTGTTTGTAGTAAAAACAAAGTAACCACATCTACATTCTGTTAACGCCAAAATGTGACTACTACTTCATTTGGTTACAGTCAAAAATGTTAATTTTGTTTATTTCGGAAATTCGCACAAAGCTACAAAAAAATAATAATAATAAAAATATATATATATATATATATATATAAATGAATAAAAACCTGCGTTAGTTTGTTTTAAATTTCGTGCAAAGCAACACGAGGGCTATCTGCGCTAGCCGTCCCTAATTTAGCAGTGAAAGACCAGAGGGAAGGCAGCTAGTCATCACCACCCACCGCCAACTCTTGGGCTACTCTTTTACCAACGAATAGTGGGGTTGACCGTCCCATTATAACGTCCCCATGGCTGAAAGGGCGAGCATCTTTGGTGTGACGGGGATTCGAACCCTCTTCCCCTATGATTGCTTGTCAAGCGCTCTAACCACTTGGCCTTGCCGGACCCCTGCGTTAGTTGTCACTAATTTTGAACTAACAGACTAGATAGGAGGCGGCTAGTAATAGCACTCACTGCCACGTGTAGGGCTATTCTAATCGAATAGTGGGACTTGACTGTCACTCTTATAATACGCCCACGTCCAAAATGCGAGGAGCGATTCAGGGCCAACGTTTGCAAATCATGAACCTCGGGATTCACAGACTGACGCAATGGCCCCAGTGATTGGTTACATATTCATTTTATCATCCCAAAAACGAAAAAAAAAGGCTGTATTTTCAGTTCATAATTCCAAAAAAAAGAAAAAAATACTATATTTTTTCTTTGATTACGAAGTATATTTACATTTGGTTACACCCCATAAAAGCACCCAATTACATTTTATTCAAATTCAAATCTGATTTGATCTTTTATATGGAGTTAATAGAATTTACTTTGTTTTTTGTCTCAAGAACTTCTGCTGTGTTATAATACTCACGTAAAACGCGCATGTTAAAACAGGAACAGAAGTAACAATCCATTTTAATCTAGTGTTAATTTGCTAAACATATATTCAGTTCACAAACAACGACGCAGAATATGAAACAGGACACATTGAACTGTCGATTCGCCCCCCCCCCCCAGTGACACGGCGGTATTGTCTGCGGACTTACAACGCTAGAATCCGGGTTACGATACCCGTGGTGGGCAGAGCACAGATAGCCCATTGCGTAGCTTTGTGCTTAACTTTATACAAACAAACCGTCGATTCACTGTTTTGCTTCTTCTTCCCATCAAAATATGTCGCGTGGTGTGTTAACTATCTGGGGGAACTGGTTTTCGATACAACCAACCAAAGCGCGATTACTTTGATGTACAAAGATGATTATAGTTACGAAATATTCTTAATTTTTTTTTTAAACCGTAATTTCATTTCTTTCGTACATCTAGTATTAAGACCACAAACACAAAACTCATTTCCAAATAAACTTAATATTAATGTCATACAAAGCATGTTTAACATGAAACGCACGCAACTCGCCCCCCCCCCATCTTCTTCCCCGAAGCTTGCCAAAGCCACTCTTTTTGTGAACAGTTAAATCCTAACCACCAATGAAGTTTGAGTTACTGGTTATTAAAACTACATCAAAATAGCTTGAAACAAAATCGGAAATATGACAGGAGAGGAAAAACTTCAGATATTCAAACAACATCGATTAATTATACAGGAAACGGGGGGGGGAGGGGGGAAGAGATTCGTGGAAAACTTCACGATGTGTATCTTTGAAAAAACTCTTGTCGAGGACTTGGTGACGTCATCTTTAAAAGGTTAACCATTAGTGGACGCACGCAACCCTTTGGAAACGTATTATCCACGCTCAGGTGGGCAGTGCCTTGCTAACGAAACTCTGGCAGAAACGATCCTCACATTCAAGTAGGTCTTAACTCCTCTCCCCCTGTCTCTTTTGTCCCCCATATCACATTGCAACAGGTAGGTAATGACTTTTTGATTACTATTACTAGGACCATTACCGGAACGGCTGGGGCTTACGTTCCTCCGCCAATGGAAATAGGTCCAAGTGCATTAGTTCTATCCTGCGGAGAACAGAGTGAAAATTAAACACCGAGAACTGGAATATCCCTTTCATTTAGACGGATACGGTTTTTCATGTTACTATGGCAACCGGCCACACGAGACAGCAGAAGTCTGGCGAATACGATCACTGGTATTCACAGGTGCTTATTTTCTAGGAATTCAGAAGACGAAAGTGGAAGGGTGTATTAAAAATAAACCTGCTCTTCCGAAGTGGAAATCCAACAATAAAACTTGACTTCAAGATTATCACTATGCTCTTTAATCAGTTAATTAAAAAGTTACTAAAACACACCTTTAAACTAATTATAAAATTCACCCGAAGTCAATTCTAGAAACACAAGCCAAGGATTCTTCAAAAAAAAAATAAAAGTTTCTAGTACCATCACAAATTCAGAAGGACGAAGTAAATAGTTACTACTATATAACAAAATATATGGATGGACTGAATTGTTTATTTTGTGTTTATTTGAGCAACAACATCAAAAAGAAAAAAAAGAGAGAATATTTTTAAGTAGTTCGTATACGGTAATAGAATGAACTGAAAAGTCCATATATTAATGTTATTGTTTCCTCCTTATCAGGTCCTCTACTCCCACACGTTTTGTTGTTTTAACGAAAAAGTAACTTCCTCGACAGACAGGTCCCTTTCAGAAATAAGAACACGAACAGCTCTATTTTCGTCGAAGAAAACACTAAAAAAGAAACTACGTCGGTGATAAAACGACCCCCCCCCCCCGTCCATTCTACGCAACACAGTACGTCATTGATCAGATTCTGATTTGGCTAAGAATGACGAGATTGGATTGGTTGGTTGTAATTAAGCAAAAAGCTGTGCAATGGGCTGTCTATGCTCTGCCTACCACGGGTATCGAGACACGGATTCTAGCGTTGTAAGTCCGCAGACGTACCGCTGGGGGGCACGAGATTGGGAAACTTTACACAAGTTCTATGATAGATGAATTCTCTTCCTTTCTACAACTTCCACTTCGAATCTTTAAACGTCATCAATCTCAAAAGCCCATGTGCAGGTTTATGGCAAAGAGTGAAAAAAAAACAACAGGTTTTTAAACATAAATACTCAATCGGTTAATAGAAACATAATTTAAATACATTCATAAACGAATAAAGGTCACAAGCACGTAGCTATATATCACTAGCAAATGTAATAATAACAGTAAAAAGTTACGATGTGACAATGTCAGGGTGCATAATGAATTTAAAACTTACCTTTATTGCTAACTGTTAGCGCATGCGTATACAGATGTAACAATGCTATCTTATATTAACGAGTGACTGGAATTTTCCTACTGTTTTAAGTATTTCACAAACCTTTGTGAAGTCTTTTTACGTTTTTATTTCCCTCATTAATGTGAAATAAATTATCATGTTTTGTTTTGTTTTTAATTATGCACAAAGCTACACAAGGGCTATCTGTGCTCTGCCCACCACGAGTATCGAAACCCGGTTTCTAGCGTTGTAAGTCCGCAGACATACCGCTGTGCCACTGGGGGGCAAATTATCATGAAAAGTTCATTCTTGTCACAGTTTGAATTGTGCTTAAAAGTGTTATTTGGTGAACTAACGCTGACAAAAACTTTTCTGATGTTATCAGCAAAAAGCTTCATTCTCTCGAAGAATAGTCAACTACTCGAAAGCACTCGAGTTTTGGGTCTTTTTTTTTAAATTCATTGCATCTTATATATATGTGATCCTGTGTGTTCAATCTTTTATCAAAATTGTATTGACCGAGTATAAGATACAGACGTAACAATGCTAGCTTGTATTGACCGAGTATAAGATACAGATGTAACAATGTTAGCTTGTATTGACCGAGTATAAGATACTCATTGACCTATCATACGATACGGATGTAACAATGCTATTTTATATTGACGGAACTGGCCTGGCATGGCCAGGTGGTTAGGGGACTTGACTCGCAATCTGTGGGTCGCGGGTTCGAATCCTCGTCCCACCAAACATGATCGCCCTTTCAACCGTGGGGGCGTTATAATGTGACGGTCAATCCCACTATTCTTCGGTAAAAGAGTAGCCCAAGAGTTGGCGGTGGGTGGTGATGACTAGCTGCCTTCCCTCTAGTCTTACACTGCTAAATTAGGGACGGCTAGCGCAGATAGCCCTCGTGTAGCTTTGCGCGAGATTCAAAAACAAACATACGATTGACGGAACTAGAAACATATATGAAGAACAAGCCTTATACAAATGTTTGGGAGGTAGATGTTCTGTGACGTTGTACATTTATTTGAGTAAGTCAAAACCGAGACCAGCTGGGGTTCGAACCCATGGCTGCTTATCAGACTTTAAGCAATTACGTTGCTGTAGAGTCACGGCTTTCAATTCCAACCAATCTCAGCCGTCTGTCCAGCTCTGAACGGAATATCGAAATTGAGTGTTGCTCTTATAACGCACACGTGGCTGAAAATACGGCCAGCAGCGCGAACCTTGGATCTACAACTTAGCAGCTAACTAGACTTGTATATTAACGTTGTAAGTCCGTAAACTTACCGCTGTCCCACAGGGTGGACATAACGAGTTTGTTTGCTTGTTTTTTGAATTTCGCGCAAAGCTAAACGAGGGCTATCTGCGCGAAGCCGTCCCTAATTTAGCAGTGTAAGACTAGAGAGAGGGAAGGCAGCTAGTCATCACCACCCACCGCCAACTCTTGGGCTACTCTTTTTACCAACGAATAGTGGGATTGACCG